TAAGGTACTCGTAGGGTTGAGATTTCGTAATGCAATTATATTGTTAGTATGTTTAGATCGTGAGATGGTTCTTTGTTGCCTAGTACATCTAATTAGTCAGGCTGTTTAGTGGTATACGCCGCGGGCTGGTATTAACAACGGACAATTTGAAATGAGTTGATTTGTAGAGGTATTCCCAGTGTGCTTGTAGCTAATTTGTTGTAGCTTTTATTGCCCTTGCTTCGGTGTCCTCATTGGTGGTTTCGCTTATTTTATTTACGGCCATGCAACTCTTATATCGTACTTTCGAGGCGCCATCAATATGCCACAGACTATCATGCAAAATGGACACGCGCTGTGGAGTCGTGGAGAGATTCATCAGTTGAAAACATATTCTCATATTTACAAAAGTTATTGAGGCTTTATTCTCGGACATTTTGAGCAGGTAATGTCTCATTGTCAATAAGAGATACCAAAGTTGTACGTTAAATTTATCTTTGTATGTGGCATATTTTTCCCGAAGTCTTGCGAATGTGCAATATACTTAAATACAATATACATAAAGTACGGTTACGGAATATATGCCCTAAACAATTTGATATACCTATAGGTCTATGTTAAAAGTAAAAAAAGTTAAAGTTAAAAGTATTATCTTATTTTGACTCTTGCGCATTTATGACGATGGGTGAAAGGTCAAATCTTAAAAACAAACAAAACAAAGTTATGTTTCGACATTGGCAGAATCCATTTAGAATAGGAAAGCCAAACTAAGAAGAAGAATTTAAGCATACGTGTCATCTACAATTTTGGGCAACGTGGTAAATTAAAAACTTGTCTCTTAAGCAGCCGGCGTGGGTAATGGCAATGATATCATATGCCTTGGTGTCAATTTATAGTTCGAATTAATTGTATCAATTTTATTGCTATAAAAAGTATACAAAAGTCCTTAGACAAGGTATGCAAGTAGAGGAATTTCTGTTATAAAAAAGGCATTCATTAGTGTTCTTAATGAAAACGCCCGCCTGCCCTTGTTCTTTCCGCTCTGGAATTAAGCCTGTATCTGCTACTGATTTGTCGCGATAAGGTGATTTATCTTCAATAAATTTATCGCTCAATCAACGTCGACGCTTACGCCGTATCGTGGTACGGCTGATTGGATTTCTTCATAATTACATCTTTTGACACGTACGCGCCAAGTTTCGTACCTCGCGAGCCGCCGGGCCACGAGATCGTGGGAGCACCGTATAATCAGCTTTCTTGACCGTCTTGTTTTGACTTGGAACCGCAGAATTATCCTTTATATAATTATGCAAAATGCTCTTGCATTAATTTACTACTTCGCGTTAAAATCCGATTTTATCATGCATCTACGTTATCTCGATCTTAATCGGATCTTTTACTTACGATACGCTTAAAAGAATAGCGACCTGGGGAACCTAAAATAATATATTTTTGCTGTCATATCTGACGTCCGCTTTTTATTTAGCATGACAATGCTCTGAAAAGTGGGTGTTTCGTGTTTCATGCACGTACGTCTTCAACTTGTCATGAGGGATATTTGGTGGTTATTAAAAGAGAATTCTGTCAGAAAATATAATCAGTATTCATTGTTTATTATTTATTTTGTGTAAGCTCTACGTGTGAAGTTTCTTAACTTGATTTGGAAAGTTTGACATAATATTGAAGCGAATATTGTACTCGTATGTCATTGTGATGTTCGTTTTGATTCACTGTCAGAATTAAGCACTGAATATTATTATTGTTGCCCTAACACATTTTAATACGTTAAACTCTAGTAAAAGTATGTAAAAAATGTTTGTCCTACCTACCACTCCTACTAATTAGCAGTTTCCAGGACTTCGATTATTTAAGTTTTGTTGTTATTAATTTGAATGAAGTATTAAAATCAGATTAAAAAGCCGACTAATTTAATGTGGTCACTTCAATAAGGTATCGCCGTCATCACACCACCCAGTTCGTTTCGAATCCGAAATTCGGCGGTGGTCGCAATTAGGCGCGATAAATGCCCCCGACATTCGATCCAGCGGGTCTCGTTCGATTAATCGGTTGAATCGTATAAGGAATCCGATTTAACGGGTCATTCCTTTTGCTTGTTTATGTGGCATGTTCGGACAGCTGATATTATTTTACCGCTTATATCTTCTAATAAAACACTTTTAACGGTTTAAAATACATAATTTCCTATCAAAATATTTAAAATATTATTGAAATTGCATATACATATAAGTAACACTGAAAGCAGGTACTTTTTACTTATAATTAATGAAAGTTAAAGTTTCAATCACGCCTAAATTAAATTATTTTTGACCCACGGCTGGAAAATTAAAATAAACTCTCTACTTCGCGCTTAAAACTGTTGCTTAACTGTGTACCACATTTTTTCATATTTGTAACAAAGGTCCAATATAGAACAATTACACTTTCTTGCGGCTTGCCCGTATAGAGGTAATTGATCCTGGATGAGTAAAATATGATTCGATGTTTAAGTGTAAAGCCCGCATACATGAAAGCTGGCCACATATCAATTATTTTGACACCGACTATTAAGTCGTTACTCAATAACAATGTGTTAAGTTTTATGTCTCACTCGTGATGTTCCTTCTAATTTAATGCTACTTAACATAAGTAAGAGATTGACAAAAACTATGACAGAAACTCAAACGTTATTATAAATCGAAAGCCTGCACGTGTCCCATAAATATCAATATTTATGTGCTCGCGCGTTTTTTATTAAAATTATCATCATAAGTATGCTTCAGGCGTGGTCTAATTAACTGGAACCAATTACAAGCCTCTAGTGGGCTGGATCAGTCTGGTCTTCAGTATCAATAACAGTTATCTTATTTTGCGCGCAAAGTATTAATACTGATAGTTACTCGTTACTATAACTAGATTGATTTAAGTGGCGCTATGTTATCGATATATACCTGTCATAACAATAAATTCTCAAGCTTGTAAACGAAAGGTTACATTCCTCTCTGACGTTGCTCCACCTTTTCTTAATCTACCTCAGCAATTGCATCAAAAGTAAACGAATGGGCATCGATCTGTGAACAATGACAAAAGTTCCTCCATTACAAGGTGACAAAGCCTAATATCAATAGTAAACAATGGGAACAATAGTTGCTCTCTGTCAATTATGCGATCATTACCATCAGTTTAAGTGACATAACGGATTTAGTTCAAGATTGTAACATAAGTCACGCTTACGAGAAAGAAATTAGTGTTGAAGAGACGTTGGCTTATACTAATTACTTTTAACTTGCCCTTTCAGAGTTCTTGATGATTATCGATACTCGCTTTGTTTAGAATTCTTAATTTAATAATTAGTAGGGATAAAACTATATTTTATCTAAAATATTTTGCTCGCTTAGCAAAAATCATTTCTTACATATTGACGCCATTTTTGTTTTTTATTAATTAAGTGCGCTCTATAATAACTATTGCTATACCTATCATGTTTACATATCGTAAGTATTCATATGAACATGAGTTCATATGTTTATCTAGTAAAACTGAATATAATTCAAAATCAGGTTATTTTTCGATTTAGGTTATGAGTCAGTCGAAAACAAATTCACAGACTGTACAATTTTGGTAAATATCGTAAATTCTATTTTCTCTCGATTCAATCTCTTGAACAACCATCAATGAAATTTAATATGGCACCAAACATTGACTCACCTAAACGTATCAATTTTGAACAATGTTTAACAATTCCTTTGCGAATTAAGTTATATTCGATATTGACAAGTCACTTTACTTAGAATATTGAAAGTTCCCTCCACAATCAAATGTTGTAAACCTTGTAAAAATAAAATAGTGAATGGAAAAAGGTTTATCTCCAAAGTAGTAAAATACTTAATTAAGAAAAAAAGTGCAAAGATTAAGATTTTAGTATCAATAAAATTTATTTAAATCACAAATATTTCGTCAACCAAGTAATTAATATATCATCGTTAATATCACTGCGGGCGATCCTCCCTTATTCGTGTTTGCAAATGCATAATTGGTGTTGTCGTAAAAAATTATAAATTTTTATTACGAGGTCTGTCGTATAAGTAATGTCTTGTCGCATTATATCAGCGGGTAATCAGTAATTTATTGGCATGCTGACACGTTATGGATTCCTTTTACTTTTAACTATAATTGGATCTTTTCAATAACATTTCACCAGGGGTCTCGTCTTTCCCCCAGGTTCTTCAAAAACAGAACAGAAAGAAAAATGAAAACTTCTCAGTCGAGCCAACTTTTTACCAACACCGTTAAGGCATATCTCAGATATCCTGCCTTGTGCTTGTGTGTGCTAATTTATAACGACCACCAACGACTAAGATTGACTATAATTAAGCCCTTTTATACATTTTTATAATGCACCTCCTGGTGTTCAGTGATTATTTTTGGCAATTTCTACCCATCTTGTCAACAGTAATGAATTATTACATTTCTAACAACCCATTATTAACATCTCTGACATTTTATTCTGAGTGAATCTCGAGCGAATTGAACATTTTTACCAAAATTTTTAGCCTGCGGTGCAACCCAAAATGAGTTTCTGGATTTATGGCCCGCTTTTTAGAGAAATTATAGTTTTTAAAACGAAACATGAAAATTGTGCAGTTAATCTGATTTTTTTCTATGGTCGTGTTATGCCCTTTAATTAAATTAATTGAAACAATGTTGAAAGTTTATTAATTGTGTTTAACTGCGTAAAAAATAGATATCAAGTGGAAAAACTTGATTTGGTCACATCAGGTGGGCTACAGGTAGGGGTCAACGACACCGGTGAGGTAGGGCTAGTTGATGATTGATCAGTCCTCTTATCAGTGGAGTGTCGCCTACGTGCGGCATTTTCAAAGCATCATTGTCTGGAGCTACGGATACGGAGACATGTGCTAATGCACCAAACTCTTCGTTCCTAATAATTACTTTCAATTTCTATTTATTTATCGTTACGCAATTGTCGTAGATTACATTTTAATTATCATCTTTCGTTGCAGATTGTACAAGTGAACAACCCTGCGATAAAACATATGTAAGTATAACAACTTCACAGCTTTTCATATTAAATACTGTCTATAGTTTACGCGAGTAGTACACATTTAAATAAAACACTTTCACAGTTTGAAACGCGATATATTAGTTAAACATATTTGTCTAAGTTTAAATAATATATCACGTTTTATATTGTTAAAGTGTTTTATTTAAAAGCTATTCATATTCATAACTTTATGTGATATCCTATAACACTCTTTTAAGTACTAGGTATATCAATTGCGCTTTTTCTTTCAGATGGGACATCGATACCTTACTAAAGAAATTTCCTAAATTAAAAGCAGTCGTAGATTTGACAAACACATCTCGCTACTACGATCCTAAGGTAAATATATAATTTCTTTTATGATAGTATTCTAAAGATGTTATGGATTTAAGTGCATATTGTCTAGTAGCAAGATTGGGCGATAAATATGAACAGTTTTAATGGACACTCTATTGTCTTTTGTTTTCCTCTAGGCGTTCGTTTTATATTTAATTTATTTTCTATTAACTTCAATTGCTATGTAAAAGTGTCAGTGAAAGGTAGTTAAATAAATTTTATTACAATGAATGGGTATTCATACACGGGTTGCTTAAAATGAGAAGGAGAATCTTCTAACATCGGCTAGAGAAAATTCTCACGAGAGAATTACGCTTTAAGGATTCATATATGGCTATTTCTATAGTGCCTTGTACTTAAAAAAAAAAAAAAAAAAAAAAAAAAAAGAAATAAAAATAAATACATAGAGGCAAAATAGCTTTATTCTTACAATCGAGAATCGTAACGTTCATCTTAACCTTATTGGTTATTATGTTAATTTGTCTTAAATTTTAAACTTAACTCAATTTGAAAGTGTGTTTCTGCGTATTGATAGGTCAATTAGGGTAATTTAGCATTTTTTTCTAATTGTGCGTTACAAGTTGTATTAAGTTTCATTTTATTTTAGTCACATATTTATATCTAGCTCGTTAAGTCAGATGTGTGCCGCGGGTCTTTGCGTTTTTAAATTTACCTAGACCTCAAGATGCTCGTTTTGTTGCAGGAATTGAAGTCGGCGGGTGTTCTGCATAAGAAAATTTTATTGCCCGGTCGCATAATACCGCCCGAGCGTAAAGTGATGGAGTAAGTACAATAGATCCCATGAAATGTTTTCTACCTTTGTAAATTTAAAAGTATAATATTGTTATCGTAATCTGTATGGAACCTTAAACTAAATTTTTTTGTTGTACATTAGCCCCATAATTTGTTTTCCCCATAGAAAACGGTAATAATAAATGTATATTTTTGTTTATACATTTTAGACCTGTGTTTGTTTTCTGTCAGAAATTGTTGGACCCGTGTCTAAGGGTTGTGTGTCTCTATCGACGGAGACGTACTTGATTAATATCGATGTCCACACAACATGCCCCTAAGGGAAAACGCGACATAACGATAAAGTGCCGCGTAAATCAGAAACAGCGCAGCTATCTATCAAAGCGGCGACTCAACATCTTTTTGCATTCGCGGCAACTTTTAATTTGAAGCGTCGATTTGGCGCCATTCGTAGGTCGAATATGGGTAATGTCATAAATCTTGCACGATGCGTGGGCGATGGCGCGCCTCGGGCCCCGCAGTGGTTCAGTCTTCGTGAGCCAACGGGTACCTCTTTCGATTCAATTGAACCCGGTCACATCTAGCGCTTGTGTTTCGAGAGACGCTTACCGCCCACACTGCATTTAAATTTTGACTGGTCTATAGTCGCCGGTCAGGTGTGTTTTTGGATCGTAACAAGAACAAACATTTCATTACCGATGATTAGCTTCGGCTATGAGCGATTCAGCACGAATACACGACATTGTTAAGGATAAGTGAATTATTGAAGACACGAATGAGATATCATTTGTTTAACTAAGAGCGTTAACTTAAGATTATCTCGGTCATTTGTCTAGTCTTTTGTTGGAGGCTGCGCCACGTCGCTGGCTGACTTGCCATAAATAACCATCGGCATTTCTCAGATAGTTCGGTCCTGTTATCGCGTTCGAGAGGCTCGCATCTGTTTGTCAGCTACGGATAGACAAATGCGCCCCCCGTATAGCTACCATGAATTGAATGTTTGGTGACAGCTACTTTTTGTTTATTAATGATATCATAACACTCATGTTGTTATCCTTTTAACCTTAAGACTTTTCTGTAGAATGATGTGCCTAAATTTATCTTTTGATTTTAAAAGTCTAGGCTCAGTTAGAATTAGGGAGCGGCAAAGCATTTTTCACAGTGACTCGCTATCTTAATGATGGATTAAATATTTTGAATTTATTTTTATAGTTGTAATTAAACCGCTGTCACCAGTTCTAAAGTTGGCACGATACTAGTTGACAATCCGTAAGAGAATTGTAGGCAGTGTAGTTTATAATAGGGCTAGATCGTTTAGAAGCAAATAAAGGCATCACGGGACCTTCCGCTGACCTTTACCTGTTGAAGACGAAAATTATCACACGCGCGTCGGTAATGATGCTCGCGTGCCTCGCCTGCGCATCCATTTATCACGGCCATATTTTTACTTGTTTTCCATGTCGACTGTCCACAATCGTGTCGTCATTACAAACCAGCTCGTGTACTTACGATCACCCCGGCTATAAATTGTGACCACCGTTGAAGTAAGGATTGTCAGATTAATAGATTTTTATGGTTCGAGACTTAAAGGATTATACCGTGTCTTTCCGCTCTGTTATTTACCTGTTACTAATGAACACTTATTGCTTTTCTTTTTATTCAGTCTCTATTTACATCCACTCGTGATAGTGACGGATGTGCAATAGTATCATCGGTGTAATTATAAACTGTTAGCTGATTACTTCAATATTTGCCCATCGGATTCCGTATCAAGTGCACATGCCAAATCCGTATTGGAGCTTTTTCATCGATAGGTTTTGTTTGTGTTTCTATTAACGCATGATTGAGAGTTCTGATACGAGACAATTCGACACTGTATTAAGTCATTCTATATTTTCGGTCGGTTCACTCAGTTCCATCGCGGAAAAACCAAAAATTTGTATAGTTTGACTTTGAACAGGATTTCTTAATTGCGTCTAGAACGCGCCAGTGATGTCAGACAAATATTAGAATGATAACAATGCCATGATATGCTATATGTCCGTGTGATTTTCTAAATTTTGGAAAGCAAAGGTTAAAGTGGTAGAAAGTTCAATATTTATTGTGCAGTTAATCTTCACAAGAGCTTTCTGCATATTAAGGGCCATTGTTACGAAAATGCTTGAAACGTAATATACTTGTTATTTTATGTTTACCATTGACGTCCTAGTAATCTTGATTTATAGCTGACTCTTTGTTTATCAAGTTACAAAAATGTTATGTAAAATTTGAAAGGAGCGTTGCGAAATAACACCATGAAATATAATGGCCACTGTGAAGTCAACTAACGAGCGAATTCAAATTAACTGGCTCTGAAACTATATCGTTTCATTGACTGTAACTGTTGGAGATGGGTCGAATGTGATTTGAACCGAAACCGAATTTAGATGATTATAATTTTAAAAAAGTTTTCAGCGTACGTAACCTGTATGTGTGCACTAAGAAGTAAATAACCGCGACTCTACTATTAATTGATCTGGTAAACGTTGTTTTGTTGTTTACAATATTAATGTTGATACAACAAGTATGCGTAATGGTAAGTGTCAATTGATGTTCTATCCAACAAATTGTAATAGTCGTTCCTGCGAGTAGCGCGTTGAAACAAACAAATTCTTCAGCTTTATAATATTAGTATAGATATTACTTTTATTTATTCCTACTAGTAAATTATAATTAGGTGAATGGTTATTTTTAACCTCTATGGTAAATATAATTTGTAAGGTTCGGTTAGACCTCACTAAATCCGGTTGAACCGAATTTCGGCTCTACCCCAGCAACTATTCAAGAAACAAACTGTCGGCTTTCTATAATCTCTGTCATAATGGAATATCTAACGTGCCCATTATCAGTAGTTATAACGTTTTATTCAGAGTAATAACCGATCTCAATATCGAGTATTATAGTTTCTGGCTATTATATTTCTGCTATGTAATCTATGGACCACACAAGTTCATATAATTGAGACATTCGATGAATGAGTATAATGATCTAAGTTACTCGCCTATTCTCGAATTTATCTGATTATGCGTACTTGAGAAATGGGGACGCCTGCTTTATTCGTCTTGTGAAATCTATACGATTATAAAGCAAAAGAAATCGTGCGTTTGATACAATTTACGCTCTTTTTGGAAAATATATGTATATAATTTGGTCAGTATAAATTATAACAAATCATGCTTCACGCTGCCTTAGGCTAGTCCGCTAGTTTTTATTATTGGAGTTTTATTAATATGTGAATCTGTTTACTCGCAGTTTTTTATAAATTCTTTTGCTTATACATAACGTAAGGTCGGTTTAATTTTGAATTGTTTTACCTAGTCTTTGTTACCCTTTTAATACAAATTATACTTTTTTTCACAGTTACTACGGTTTTTTCGTGATGCGTGATGTTATATGTATAGCATAAAACTTTCCTCGATAAATGGTTTATCCAACAAAAAGAATTTCATTTTTTTCAGTTTCCGAGCGCGTTCAAAAAACCTTCAGCTTTATATTAATAGTGTAGATGTATTCATCATTTTGTAGAGGTTAGGTTTTTTGGGTTTAAGTTCTATTATTTCATTTATGTCCTTCGTCAGTATTAGTATTTTAGACGTCACACACAAATACATAAACTGATCATCAGATCACAATCATAACTCTTTCTTTTCGTTTAGCAGTCGGTCAGAAATAACATTTAAGAAGATAAAGGTACAAATTAACACTTGCTCACGCTCTTGACTCAGAAGCCACGGGCATATCTCAGGGAAATATTCATCATTCAATTTGGTTTATGTGTCATTGGCGCCGACTTCGATTGATACCGCTAATTAATTAAGACAATCTACATGTTTATTAACTAACGAAACTTATTAATGGGGTTTATGGCATTATGCTCTTAATATTAATGGGGTCACTACAATAATACTTTGGCTGATTCATTTGAGATTTTGAGAGTTGTTTCAATGTAAAATGGTTACTATGTTACGTGTGTCATATGTGCACTAAGCTTGCATCTTTAGCCCACCATTATCGTCATCAGCTTTTCAATAGTTTCCACTGTTGGGACTCGGGCCTTCTATATGGTTATCGCCTTTACAACGCTGGCTGTTCATTTATTTGAAGGGTTGGCAGTTGACAGAAAGATAGTAATTTGGATATACGACCAGAAATCAACCTATCTACCAAATAAAAACAAATATACAAACATTTCAATGATGAATAATGAAATCCTTCAAAGACGAATAATTGAAGTTATGATGAAATATAGATTGCGGTTTTAGAACAACATTTCTAACACATCGATATAATGTTGTGCTGTAATGTTTTATTTAAAGCGGCGTATTTTATGTTTCCAATTATGGTATAGTAGCTAAACCACAAGGATTTCTTGGAAATCTGCTCGATCACAATTGTCGGGTGACGCTCATGATTCATTGCGTATCGAGATAGTTTAGTGGATGAATACTAAATATAAAAATGAAATCATATGATTTTATTTATGTTTTAATTTATTATGTCATGCATATTACCTATACTAATATTATAAAGCTAAAGAGTTTATTTGTTTGAGCGCGCTTTTTTCAGAAACGATTTCTTCTACTTGTAATGTAATTTTTGTTTTGAATAAACCATTTAATGAGGAAGGCTTTTCGCTATATATATATATATTGCTTAGCAAGGCGGTAAGTGCAAGAGTTTCTGAGATAATCCAGAGGAAACAATAAAACACATATGCCTTCCTCACCGAAGACTTTATTACGTCTGATTAAATACTTGTTTGCACATAATGAATTGAGAACGAACACAACTGTTTCTGCCCTATGCCCCATGGAAAAAAATGTGAAGCATATAATCTAACTTACTACGACTCACGGCTTTAAAATACAGACTATACTTTCAAACACTTGTATTGTTGTGTTATTCTTCTTCCCCTACAATGCTAACATATCCTCTATTTGTCCATTCTCTAGTTAAAAATAGAGTTTAGAAAATAATATAAAGTTTTGATGGATTTTTGAGATTTGTTATATTAACATAACTTATATACTTAGTTTCAAAGTATTGTCGTCAAAGTCTAACGACTAATATACATCGGTTGTTAGCCACTGACCGCCCTATACTTTGCACGCCGTAAACATCGCTTCGTAAGCGTAAATTACACACCATCTATACAGAACATTAAAACGCCAATGCATTTATGTCGAATCGTAAAAACAGTTTTGATGGTCTCATGATCCTTCGCTGCGATAATATCTTCATTTTACATGTTTAATGCTTTCACGATTTTAATAATGTCTGCCCAACATGTATGTAAACTTGTTATGAAGCTGAAAAATTACGTTTTAAGTTCCAAATAAAGTATCCATTGAATCTATTATATTGTGTAACTACCGTAAATAGATATAAATCAAATAAATATGTTGTAAGGCAGAATATTCAATTTGTAAGGTTTAATAGTGTGCTTGTATAAAATGGTAAAAATGTGGAAGTACATGGAAATTAAATATGTAGAAACGGCCTGGACATATTCATTAGTAGTTACACGGTACCTACGCTAAATTAACTTATGTATGAATTGAACCTAATTTAATAATGAGCATAGTTATAATTCACGTTAAAACTATTTTTATATTAGTTTGGTGATATTTTTAAATATTTTTATACTGTAATGTATATGCTTTTTAGGTTGAAATAGATAAATATTTTCGATGGATTTATTGATGACATAGAGTTTAGTGGGAGGATGTCTTCTCCTTTACAGTTTTCACGTTTTAACCTTTGACTCGTGAGACAATTTGAATGCGTCAGTGTGCACTGCATGGGAACCACCTGTACCCTTATCTCGCTTTGTATCGAAGTGTCGCCCATTATCTCAGTTTCGACCACTTGCATGTACCGACGCGACGTGTTGTACCTTTATACCATGATGGATGCCTTTCACACGAGTTTCTTGCGTTCGAGTCCTTATTTCCTTGCTTTACATTGAACTCATTATTGACTAATTTGTTCGTACATCCGGCGAGTTCAAACTATCGACACCTTTTAGTAGTTCGTTCTTTATAGTTACGTTTTATTATAATCATAAAAAAACGAAGCAAATAAATTGTGTAAAGCCTTCACGGCCATCGTTCAAAAACAATGATATGTGTTTTTCGGACTCGTCGATTGCTCGAAGAATTGATCGAACTATTGAGGAGCGGATGATGCCGTCCGTTCGTGATGGCGAAACGTCGAGTTCCTCTTCTCGCTTACGTCGACTGAAAATCCCAAAAACAATGATAAACTAATCAAAGTTAAAAAATACTGTTAGCTGTTAACTCCTAATCAATAAATACGTAATGTAGCTTATAAATCGTCGAAGATGATGCCGATAAGCTAAGTCTTGCACGCACACTTCCAGCTGAAAGTGAGCCTCGTTCAGAAGCTAACAGTCACAATAATTGCAGCGATGCCTATACATAAATTTTCTTGTAACGCCACACACGGCAGCGCGGTCCCGCTTGAAAAATATCCGGATTATAACTCGGGAGCGATCTAGGGAACAGATAACGCCGCCTGATATAAATTATCTTACAAAGACGCAACTAATATTAAATACGAAAGCATGTAATTCACGTGGCTTCGTTCTGCCCAACTGAGTAATAAAATACACAATTCTGACAGTTTTTTAAATAATGACGTCCGTGTTGACCAGGGAACTTAGAAAGTTAGTAACTTCGGCAAGTACTACTCCAAACTGTAAGTCGATCTAAAAGAGAAATTCGGGCTTTATCTATGCTTTTCATCAGGATTCATTTTTTGCATCAACCACTTCTCGTAATTCTCTATTATGTCAGCTAAGGTCGTTTTTACTTTTTTCAAAGTGATGTTAAAATTTATCTTCACAAAAACCTTGTGAATATTCTGCGAATTAATTGAAACGTGACTTTACGCCTAATTAAATTGTTTACTCTTTGGCGCCACACGTCGCGGATAGTTTAATTTTGTAAATGTTTTCGGATGAAAACTTAATTCTTAGGATTCTTTGTTTTTTTGTTTAATTTATTAAAAGTGTTATTTATCTACACGGTGTGTTTATTGTTAACTTTTAACAATAATATAAATTAAATAATGCAACGTTTATTAAATTAATTAAAAATACTCTAGACACCCCTAACGACTATATTCGTAGAAATTCTTGTCATCGGCGCCACTTTACAAACAAATAGAAGGGGCTCATAGTTATGTTGAGAAGCGAACATATTTCATCAGTGCATCTGAAACACAATCGGCAGAAATGCCTTGTAATATTGGGACGCCCACGGATGCGGTTTTAGGTGTAAAAAATCGATTAAAGTATGGCGACACGCTGCGATCGACATACGATAATATTTCATTCCGAATGTGACGGCCCTCAACATTTTCGTAAAATTAATAAAATGTTATACACCAAAATCACGGTGTTACGTATCGTTTTACATCGCCGCGGCGGGCTAAGTTTTATTAGTATTCCAATGTATTAGCAGGTTTGTCAGAACTATGTGTTGGAATGCTATAAAATTAAACAGCAAACTTCTTTTGTTGATCATACCCGACTAATAATAGATGCTTCGTGTTTTACGATTCTTTAGATGTATGTTCTGCATTCCGCCAACTTTAAGTGTGACATTGTGCGTTGAAACAATGTATCCCAATAAACCTTAGTTCATTTGCATTAATTCTCTTTACCTCTTTTCAGATTCATGAACACCGTCGATGAGTTATTGGAAAACGATGACGGTAAGGAAATTTTATTTGTACTGTTCTTTAGCGAATATTCTTTGCTCTTCGGTTACACTGCCTTCGTTAACTTACTGGTTGTCAGTATTGATATTTGATCGTGCAGTGTTTGAGCTCGAGTTGTTTACTTTGCGAATTTACTTTTGGATCAATGGCGGGTGTAGTTTTTAAGTGAACATCTCATACATACATTTTGTATTACAGTTAGAAATCTAAGTTTTCTGATAACTCCTAAAGAATCTTATGTCAATAAGACGTGTTATAATAGGAAGATAGATTTTTAGTAGGTTTGGTAAACTCCGATGTAGGTTCAATTCATGAGATGTTACGCGTGGGTGAAGTCAGTATGTTAAGGTGTTAATGCATGCCCATTGCCTAATTGTATTACTTTACAAGACCAACATAAACAGTGTCATAGAGCGGGCTCTTTACTGTCACTAATCGTTATTCTATTGGCGCTTTCCCAAATATAAACTACCCAAATCTGATACACGTTCAAGTAGTTTAATTTTTTTACGACGTTCCTTCCCGAATGAAGCCGTATTGGTCTAATGGTATGTGCGTCCCCATTGCGATGTTGATGTGAGTTCAAGAGATCAATTCCTATTCGCTCAGTAAAAAATATTTTATTGGCAAGGAAAATTCGATGAGGAAGTCGGTATGTACATATTTAAACTGTGTTTGTCTCTCTGTTTATATACATTTGGCGAGTCTGGGAAATTTAAGTTAAAGGGCTAATTAATATAAATATATTATTTTATTAATAAAACAATGTTTTACATTTCTTAAAAAAACGGATCCTTCCATTTCTGTTACTCAGCGTTAATTTTTATATCATTATATCTCGTTCTGATTTGCCTATTATATTATGTGTTCATTACGTAATTAGCCGCAATCTCATTCGTTACACCTTCATTTCGAGGCGACGAGAGGCGGACGAGGGTCCAGTCTGATTGGTTCGTCAGAAGGGCTAAGCTATCAATACTGGTAGAATCAGTGCACACGTCTGTCTTTATCGGCAGCTACATATTTAATTATAGTGACACAAATCGTGGTTATCGTCGAACTTCTCACGGTGCCGGTCTCAATATTCGAAATGTTCATTAGGTTCTAATTACGAATGGTCACTTGTTTGTCTCGATGGTCAAAACTAGCTTTTATTAGATTACGTGGGTAGTTTCAATTAATTGTGGCGTACAGTGTCTGTCGGCGTCTTCATTGGTAATGACCGGTTATCGGTGTCGCTAAGTAGATTAAACAGAAAATGACTTATAATGGTTTGTTATTTAATAAACATTTTTGTATATTGTTCAAGTAGCTTCTTTAAATTGGACATTCTCGTTTGGCAGAAGATTTTTTTATAAATGCAAAGAACTCTCTAATAATGTAATTTCACAGTAATAAGGATTATTGATTCAAAAACAAATTTGCAGATGTATGTCTGTGAGTAATAAATATTACTTAGTAAGATGCATTCTTGCACTGCCCTGAAAACTTTACATTTTTGATGTCTTTCTCATTCCAATCTACACCAATGATATCTCTTTACAATGTTTATTATGAAATATCTAATGCCTAAAAATATTTGACGCCGCTAGCATAAGTTGTCATACCTCAGCAACAATGATATATATATATACCAATATAATATAATGATATACCAATGGTACCGTTATAGACAGGTGACTTGCTACTTAAAATATATTATTAATGAATATAATTTTAAATAGGCACATTGGTATATAATTTATAGTTTCTTACTTGTACATGATACCAAATATGTAAAATTTTGTAGTTGTTGTAAATTTTGTTACTATTTACAATTGTTTTAGTCGTGTTATAATGAAAATCATAAAAAATACTTTATAATCTACGCCATTTGAATTACACATGGCTTTTTTGACAAATAAGTAAAGTTTATATAAAAGCTTTTGTGACATTTATCACAAATTTATTCTAAACATTTAAGGTAACCCTCCAGTTAACCCTTCCGCTAACTATTAAGGTAGGTAGGTTACTTTATATTATTTAAATAAAGCACTTTAAACGGCGTAAACCGTGAAATATAATATTTTACCTGCAAATTACATAACTTATCAAAATGTCATGACCACTCTTGCATAACATAATAAAATAAGCTATTTATTTATAGAAGGTACCTACATAACAAATATGCACTTTCAAAAGAATGTCACTTTCGATTACACAAAAGCAAGTGCTATCGACGGATCGTAAAAATACCGAGTGATAAAACGTGTATTGCAACGGTTATCTATCTAAATACCTAATCAGTCACCATCTGAGCATCGCCCACGCGCGGCGCCAAGTGGAATGAAGCAACTGCGACGTCTAGGGCTGAGCCGACCGTCGGACCCGTTTTTCCAAATTATGTTTAAATTAATCGATAATAGCATGTATTAATTATCGAAATTTGAATTTTATTACTAATTCGAAACTTTATTTGTTCGCGATTAATCAACGCTTTCATTTACATAAATACATTATAATTACGTGCCGTTCAGTTCAAATATTGTACAATGTGAGATGCGTGTGGTATATAAAATCCTAAGCCGATTACGATGTAAGGAGGTCGAGTGTGGGTGCGTCACTAGTATCAGTATCGAATTGTATCGATTACAATATGCTGATTGACGACTATCTGCGAGTGAAGTGCACACTTGCATTACATTATTTATTAAAAAACTCTTGTCAAATTAAAAGGGTTTCAACTCTTGATTCAAGGTATTAGTCCAATTCGCTATTACATTCGGATAAAAAAATGTATTTAGGATTACAAATACTATTCCAACTCACTACCTCTGCTATTCTTCATTTGGGCTCTCGCTCTTAAACGTCTTATTGTAAAATAAAATTCAAAAGCGTTATTATTAAAATTATAGTAATTCAAACGTAATAGAAATAAATGATAATTAACCATAATACATAAAAATCCAGTTGGCAAAGCTTACCTCCGCCAAGCATTTTGTTAACATAACGACTTAATCACTTTGTCGGTCGAGCAATTATCATTTATTGTTTGTTTCTTTAATTGAAAACCGTGTCAGTCGTAAATTAAGTCTCCGTTGAAAGTCTTTGATGGATTTAACTATATGCAAATGTTTTTTTGTATTCTTTAAATCAAGTACTTCTGTCACAATGTATTCACATGTATAATTCATCAAATTATAATTCTCTTTAAGTAGGTCTGTTGCTTAACGTTTCACTTTTTAAAGTCTCAGTGACTTATAATTCATATATACTCCCTTTTCATATTTAACTGCCTTTTTCGTGCATGTTATAGCAATATCCAAAAAAGTGTTACTAGTTAAATATTGTATATAAAAGTGACGAAAATTTAAAAGTTAAGTTTGTGTTAAGACTCCAGGTAGGGTTGTTTCTTTTGTGACACTTCAAAGGTCTTCCTGAGGAAGTATCAAACCGCGGCCCGCGTCTTCCGCTTCTAACCCCACCCTGACTTGAAATATACTCTATGGTATGAGGCACAAGGGGTGCGAGTCAATGACCTCAGTTCGGCGTTTGCAGTTTCGAGTAAACACGATGACGTAGGATTTTTCCTTAAAGTGATTTATTGTTTGACAAGTAAAGTTACTTTTCATCTACGCAACATTTTAGGAAAAACACTCCTCTAGTAGAATGGTTGTTGTTGAAATGCTACTAAATAATATAACTACTATTTGTTTGTCTGTCCTACAAGTCCTTTAACCGACTTACATGCTGTATATTACGTAGGGACAGTTAGTTAAAAGGCCAACTAACGTAGGCTTCTTTTAACATTAATTTCAGGACCTGTCTATTTTTAAATAAAAATAGTCCTTTTGTGCCATAATTTTACATTTTTTGTAACTACCATCACACTCCTGGCAGACGAAGCTTTTAAAATAAAATTAAAGTAATAAGTATTTTATATTACTGTCCCTACTTTATCAATATCGAATCGCGCCAGAGATATCGATACGCATGGATATCGATTAATTTAGGAGGATAAAATATAATGTATCTCATGAGGTGTTTTCTTACAGGATCGTTGATCGGTGTTCACTGCACGCACGGTTTGAATCGCACGGGGTATATGGTGTGTAGGTATCTCCGAGATAGGCTCCTGGTACCGCCGACTGTAGCTATTGAAAGTGAGTAGACCTGGGTAACCTATTTCATTGATCTACTAAAATATGCATTACATATATGTCGGAGTCACGTTGTCGTCTTTGTCACTTATTGTCGGAATCAGCAGGATTCCGGATGAGAAATAATAATAGTCAGTTCCTTGGCAGGTGACTTATGACGATGCCAACGATAACTGAAATCCGACTCAACAAATGCGCTCCTTTTTATTAACGTTGCCCTCTCCCGTTGCCTAGACTCTGTTGTGTTGTTGACGTCCCGTACGCATGACCCGGATGCGACATATATATATAAATACGGATCACCTTCCATCTAGGAAAGTGGTCCGTAACGTGACGTAGATTTTGACCCACCCCTAATACGTATCATAGCTGAGTAAAATTAAACATTTTGTTAACTTTTTACATCTAGATTTAATTAATAGAATTATAAAACTCGAAGCCCATTTATTACTGCCATTTACGGAATGCACTAATTTTGAATTTTAACCAAGTATTAAAAAAAGACATCAAAAAATCTTACTGAGAGAATACATGTTTTATTTCACGAGTTGTAAAGAATTAAAAACAATACAATTTGTAGTTATTAACATTAACTTACTAAAAGAGATATCAGATAACTAAGATATTATTTTATTTAGGATTTGAAAAAGCGCGTGGGTACAAGATTGAAAGAGAGAATTATATTGCTGACATTCTCGGAAAGAAACCGCCTCCACCAGATATTGGCGTGTCGACTACTATAAACCCCATTGACACTGATGATTGTCAAGATAATGAAGCCGCTACAGAAACTAAACGGGTGAGCGAAGACGATGAATGGACACTACGAAGGAAAAGAAAATATTTGGATTTGGACAGAAACACCTATGAAAAACGTGGAAAAGCAGCTCCGAATAGTCCGACAACTTCTTACGGATATAATAATCGAAAGGACCAGGACCAGGAGCCACAGAGCGGCCCCTATTCTGGTTATAATAAAAGAAAAGTTAATAGTCAAAGAGACTTTATTTATAAGTCTCCACTTATACAGGAAGAAGAAGAAGTTGAGGGACATACGATGAGGTATGGTAAAAGAAGGCCAGATGGCACAAAAAATAGGTATAGGAGAGGACAAAACGATAACACAAAATACTCTCACCATAAACGGAGTGACAAAGATGACTATAAATTAAATTACAAATACGATTACTGATAGTATAAGTAAAATCAATGACCATAGTTTGAACACAGGGAAGACACATTTATGTGTCCATTTTATTGATAAATTTTATTTACAGGCAAGTAGTCGATCAGTCTAACCGAACGCTGTATATAGCATTATTTCTGACTGTTGGCTGAAAAAGTGCAGTGCAGTTTGTAAATATTTCAATTCATATATTTTTTTATTTATTTCAATATAATTCTACTTCTTATACTCTATTTGTAAACCTGTGTTATTATAACTTTTACGTCAGTAGAAAATTTTACAGTAATGTATAACTGTACATTACTGTAAAATTTTATTTACTTCATTTATTTACTTCATTTTCATAAAAGGTAAAATATTTTACCGAGGATTCAGGAGTTTATTATTATTTCCAATTTTGAGTGGATCCATCCATTTTTAGATGTATTATATTATATAAGCTATTAGTTCTTTTAAAGTGTGAAATTTAATGTGGTGCGTATCGCATCCTTGTGTTCACACTTTATAAATAAATTGTACTACAAGAAACCTTTTTTTTAATTGTATGTATTTAAAAAAGCCATTATTTTACAACTCTACTGGGGAATTATCTCGTAAGAGATATTATCTCTCGGAATAATAGAAGTTATTTTTTTAGTTTGGATTGTCTATATATTCATTAATTCGTGCGTTTCTTGCTTCTTATAGTTAAACTTCGTTTTAAAATAACTGTATTTAAAATATATAAGAGAGGTTATGTTTACTTTAAAACAAAAAATAACGATATTTACCGTAATATCGAGTTATAGTGAAAAATAACAAAACTTTAATTTGCCATCTGTTAGCCATTTAAAATGTTGTATCAAACGTGTACTACTGGGTTAAACGTCAATTAACTTATTATAAATATTTAATTTTTTACCTAATTATTCTTGTAGTCTTCCATTACGAAATTGAGTAAGTTTACAAAAATCGAGTAAGTCATGAGAACATGTCTAATTATAGTAAAATGTGGGATCACGTATAGTGATGTGGATAGCTCGCACGTGATTGATACAATCCAGATGAAAAGATTAGGGCTCACTAAGAGGTGCTTATTAAACCTCAACTATCAGTACTGGGACCCAATATTTACAATGGCCTGTTGCTAACATGCCTCGCACTACAGGTGCTAGGTACATAAATTTAAATCTCTTATTTAACCAGCCTAAATTGGGGAAAGCACACTTATTTATTTATTTCAATGAGGGCTACCTACTAAATACTTATTAAAAGCTAAAACAACGACGATTATGTCTTTAAAGGTCCGCATAACGTTTATGTAAAGAAAATAAGATATAAAATACCTATACATACTTAAATGCGTAATTAAATTAAAATATATTGTGAACAGAAACAGGCTTTTAAATTTATGAAATTTGTAGAAAACGTCAATTATATTGTCTATCTTATGTAAATGCAATGCTTTATAACCTATTTAAATACACTTTTAACGGTTTAAAACGTATTGGTTAATTTATTTAAACTACGGCCCGAAGTTTTGTAAAGTAAACTTATTTACTTCTATAATAAAATATGGATTCTAAAATCACATTTACTACCCTCGTCTTGACCGTTTTTCACGTTCGGTCTACATAAGCGAGGAAAACGGTCTAGACTGTACTTACCGATGGCTTATCGCTAGCAAGTCTGACTCGTTTAGTATTGGACCAAAAAAGAAGCAGTGCATTATATATACCTTGTATTTTAACTATGCGTTTCATATAAACAATCATTATTATCCTTCTAAAAGCTCCGGCCTGCCACGCTAACCAAAAGCTTAGCAATTTTTGATTTTAGGTACTTCCTAGGTTTGTGTGAATTTAATCACTAGAACGGAATTTAGATATTTCTTAATTCCGTTCTAGTGATTCATTTATTATCCAGATTTCCATACGAAGTCTAACATGTTTCATAAATGTTTTAAATTGACAAACATGTTGAAGCCGATGGTGACCGAATAAACTAAGCTCTGCAGCCTTTGCTGTAAACAAGATACGACAGCTTACTGATGAAAATACAGCCAAGCTTGTCTACTTCAGTTACTTCCATAGTGTAATGTCTTATGGTATCCTTTTGTGGGGCAACGCAGCCGATATTCAAACCATATTTGTTTTGCAGAAACGGGCTATTCGATCGATTTGTGGTCTTTCCCCACGAGAGTCTGTTCGAAATAAGTTTAAAGCATTGAATATCCTAACGTTGGCAAGTCAATATATCTATGAAAATGTTTTATATGTGAGGAAAAACGTAGATACTTTTAAAACAAACGGCAGCTTTCATCAGTACAATACGCGTAATAAGGACAAAATAAGTGTACCAAACAAAAGGCTCCATAAAAGTAGTAGTTCTTTTCAAGGTAACTGCATACGATACTTTAATAAAATCCCCAGCGAAGTGCAAACACTCTCAATAAATAGGTTTAAATCGTATGTAAAACAAAAATTGCTTGAAAAGGGTTATTATCATGTTAATCAATATTTAAATGATAAAAATGCTTGGGGTGTGGAGGAACCCGCTCTTACAAGGAAAAATATGTTGTGTACTAAAAGTAAATCAAGAATGTAAAATGAAACTTGGCGATAAAAGGAGTGACGGCGAGTTTATTGCCAGTTCTTCTCGTTCGTTCTACGCCCTTGATTTGAGAACTGGTAGTAAATGTAAAGTTAGATTCTATAATTATTTTGTGACGTTCATAAGTGTACATAGTTACCTACATGAATAAATGATTTTTGACTTTGACTTTGACTTTGACCCACGACGCAGGCCCAAGACAAATATTTCGTTATGGATTAATACGTAAGAGGCATCTTACATCTGAGAGTGTTGTCAAAATATTTTTTACGTGAGTCCAAAATTGCTCAGCTCTTAATTATAAATGAACTAGTTAGACAAGATCTAAACGACATGGTTATTAAAATCGTACAGTTATGATTGGCGGAACAACAGATTTTCACTAACTGCCCTGTGCCCTTATGATCTCAAGATTATACTTACGAAATGCGGCATGGAGGAATGTTTTCGGACTTTGCTTTATACCATAACAAGCAGTAAAACAATTTTAAACGAATTCTTTATTTAAGAATCTTTGAATACCGAACAGGGGATGATTAGTGCTATATTTAATTTTTAAAATTGTTTATCATCTGCGTCATCAATACTATTCACTTAAACTAGCTTAATATTTCAAGCGCTAAAGTGAAACAAACATACTTAGATACAATTACTGAATCCTTTCGGCTTTTCCGGCAACGGGTGAAAAACAGAGTTCAATTTACAAATCGAATCGCCGCACCAACACAATAAATAAAGGAAATTCGCCACAAGTTCGTCCGTTTCTGGAAATAAATCAAACCGGAGATGCGACAGATATGAACGTAGCTCACCGTGGCCCACTTCTACGGAACGTATTTTATGTTGAAAACTGACTTACGTGTCGGAGCTGTTTACTTTGTAACGCGGACTTCACGATATATTTTCAGCGTTACTAGAGTCAGGTAACATTATAGCGTCGTCTGATTTATTTGTTGTCGATACGCGGTAGCTTTCCCGAGTCAATGCTAGTCGCTTTTATCGCTCTATTGTTTGGTTTGTGAGCGAGATTATGACTACGTCGAGTAATTTACATGCAACAACTGTGTATTGTGTATCGGTTTCTAGCGTTCGTCTTGTAATGAATTGCAATATATTCGCGTGCGGTACGGCCGCTTCGAGTAATTTAAGATGAAATCTTGACGTCAAGAAAGTTTGCTTACACGAACAATGAGGGGAACGCGATGTAAAAACGGATATTAATAAGACAGCGTATAACTGATTTTAATTTTTGTTTCAATAACCTCAACATATTTTCTGTAATGCATTCGAATGGATAGTATATTATTTTATATCACATTGTTTATTTTTTTAAACGTCTTATCTGCACACTGCCTACACTACACATAGCAATAAGGCCATTTTTGTTGTATGATGTAACAACTCTTTGTTTCAATATAATTTTAAGAAGATATATCTTAATTTAAGATTATTCTTTTCGAAAATAAATTGAACATTTTTTGACTCGGGCAGGACCTGAACCGGCATCGTTAGCGTTCCGTGTTGTTGAGCAACAGCACGGAACGCTGACGATGCCGGTTCAGGTCCTGCCCGAGTCGAAATTTTTTTCAATTTATTTTCGATTTTTAAATTATATAGTGCCTTCATGTGCAAAATAACATCTAAAAAATATTAATGTTTTCAAACAAGATATATCTTTAATAATTAGTTAGTGCATACGTATTGTCTATAGTTTTCGCGAGTAGTACACATTTAAATAAAACACTTTAACGGTTTAAAACGCAAAGTATATTAAAAAACGTTAAACGATTTATTACTATGCCGCGTGTTTTAAACCGTTGAAATCCTATGTTACAAAATGTATAGTTTAATGGATAAAAGATAGTATCACAAGGATTATAAAAGATGGCGGCGAGGAGACCCATTATATTTTATAATTAAGCGCATATCTCCAAAAACATAAATTACTTCAATGTGACTTAATAAAATCGAACATCTCAACTTGCGTTATCGGCTATTTTGTTTCGTATCTAAACTACCTGGCAGCAGAAGCCAGGTCCTTGAGTGACGTGGATGGCTATTTAATTTATGTCCATTACTTGAAGCCGCTTTATTTTAATGTGCTCGTTTAGTTTGGTGACAGTAGGTGACGGTTTGGCGCCTGATCCTTATCAATATAGGTGATGAAACACCAAGGATATGGTTCGTCCTAACAGGAATTTCAATTATATATTTCCTCTGCCTATATCACGTAAATACTGTTTCAGTGAGGTTATGAAAATATAACCTTATATGGAGAATAGACATCATTCTTCTTTTCTTAGGAATTACGTTGCAGCATTTAATAAATACAGTATTAAATTATGAATATTATAGCGCGCTTTGTAAGAATTGTTTTGTAAAGCCACGCTGTGGAATCCACTGCCGATAGCGGTATTTCCGAAAAATTATGATATGGGTTCCTTCAAGCATAGTGTGCATTCATAAAATAAAGGCCGACGACACATTTCCAGCGCTTCTGATGCTGCGAATGTCCATCGATGTAGGTAGGTTTAACATGGGTTTGCCTCCTATTACAGCA